GCTGGTAGAGGCGCTGGTGGCGACGGCGCGAGTGTTTGGAAGGGCTGTAGCGAGAGAAGAAGCTCTACGGAGGCGCACTAGAGCTCTGCGCGATTCGTGACGCGCCAATGGCCCGTGGTGGTGACGATGGGCGGATGCAATGAGGGTCCGGCCGTTGTGCACAGTACACAGTACACGGCGCGACTAGCGACGCAGGGAAGCAAGTGTTTGCGACATGGTGGAGCGACGTTGACCGCGAGGGTCGGCGGAGGTGGAGGCGGTGCGGAGGGCGGGCGGGCGAGGGTGGAGAGCGAAGGATATTTTTGTATAGGCGCGGGTTGGGCAAGTACATGTACGGGAGTATTAACGGGCGGGTCGTCGTCCCCAAACTTGGAAGTGGTGGAGCGCTACAAGACGTCGCCGGCTATTGGCTCGCCGCAACCACATCATGCGGAACACGTACCTCCACCCGGCAGTCAATGACGAATCCTTCACTCCGGCCATGCGACAGTGACCTTCACCATTTGCGGCACGTCGACATGGGAAAGCGGAGACGGCAGCCCTTTGCGAGACAGATCAAATGGATCAAACAGATCTGGCGTCTCCGTGTCTCCCCCCAGCGTGCCATCTGTGAACCACGCCGGCTATCTTTTTTTTTAACACTTGCCAATTTCGTCCCTCCCCTGCCCACTTGCCGTTCAACCGCCTGATTGCTGTGCAGTCGTCGTGTGGTTGGGCTCTACCGAGTAGATAAGCTACCTAGGCACTGCGTATCGCTGGCGCTTTGGGTTTACCCGGAGAAGATCTAGGCATATTCAGGCACATATGATCCAAGGCAGGCATGCTTTCAGAAACCCGTCTTGCTCGTAGTGTCGCTGCTGCAGTCTCGTGCATTTCAGTACACCCGTGGCCTCGCATCGTCATTTCAGCCACGACTGCACACGGATTATTCAGTTATGATTCTCGAGTAACTGGCCTTGCCGCCTTCTTAGAAGAAACGTTTCTAAATCAGTGCGAACAAGGGTACGCTCGCGTCGGATGCTTCTCTATTCTGATACATCCAGCATGTAAGCCCATTTGCTAACAGCGCCGTGCAAGTTCAAGACTGAAAAACCTCTACCACCATGTGGTGGCAGATGTCATGTTGCGCCACGCCAACGCCGCCGCCGTCATACAAATACTCACTAGGATTACCCCAAACTACCCATTAGAATACTTCCACGACAATGCGAATCTTTCCGTCCAAGAAATACCGAGTAGTCCTACGGGGATTGCTCAACGATGCTATGGCTAACAAGTCGTTGCATGTAAGAATGCGTCTCGTTTGTTGAGCTTTCAAGGCCGATGGCGCTAATGAATTTGTGCAGATGCATGGTGTAGTTGCTTTTGTTGGGGGACTTCGATTATGATCATGTGCGTCAAACCAGATAGCGATCATCGTCATTCGCAAATCGTCCGTGCATGCGCTCCTGCAACATCTACCACCAGCTCTCCTCTTCGCTTGCATTCACTGAAAATGTGCTGCTAGTCACGCCGATGGACTTGACTGATCGGTCTTGGAATTGCAATCATGTCCCAGGGTATCATTAGAAAATGCTGATCAAGACCAAATCGTTCACAGTGGAGACGTTGGCCATATTCCCCGCGCTCTTACACACACTGTACCATCCAAAGACTCCAAGGTCGCAATCAACTCCACTGGATCTGGGATTGGTGTAGGCTTCTTCATGAGGTCTTTCCATGGCGGTAGCCAAGACTTCGCCGGCGCTGGTTCTAGGGGAGGTGCAGCTTGGGGTAGCTTAGGAGTCTCGAATCGAGTGCGGAGAATGTAGAAATTAAGGATGTGGGTAGGTCGTGCATATGTGACGCTCACAGAAAGGAGAGGGGGTATTGAATCTACGTGACCAAATCAGCATTTTGATACTCGTCGACGAACATGCGTACCAACCCAGAGACACGTTTGGCCCCGCGATTGTCCTAGCCATTGCATCCTCAAAGAGAGTTACGGCAGCTCCTCCATGAACCATCCCAGGCCAACCAGAGAGCGCACCTCCCATCCACACAACAGCAATCATTTCACGAGTATCAGGATTCCAGAATGCACGCTGCACCCCAAAGCCTCGTGCTCCCGCCAGCGATCGCTGTGTGATTGTCCGCGTCGTGCTATCCCTGTCTTGAGCAGCCTCGGTCAAGCTCCTCTTGATGCCAAGCTCCGTCCAGCTTCCGTTGCCTTTTGTCGCTCCATCCAAAGACACGTCCGAGTGTAGATGGTAACCTTGGGCACGCAGGCTTTTAACAACGTCAAGCTGGTCGATATTCGTTCCGAGATCGCCGAGGACAACTTCGTCGCCGTGGGAGCCAGGAGCGGGGAGGGGGGCTGGGGCAACGTAGGTGCGACACACAGTACCGATACCTAAGCCCCCGGCCAGACATAGCGCATACCACAAGTATGAGACTCGAAACCGTGATGCTTTGGTCGAGCTTGACCTGAATCGCACGACACAACAAGTGGAAGATTGTGAGGGCACAAGGGGACGGACCGGAACTCTCAGAAACCGTAGCAGAGCTTGGGGCCTTGCTACAGCCATTGCGGGCAAATCTGCCTCCAAAGGGACGTTGAACGGTGGATTGAGTCTATAGAGTGAGTTGAGAGTCGGCCGTTCCCAGCCCAGCTTCACCGATTCTTGGCACGGAAACCACCTCGGCTTCCACAGCTTCCCCGGACCCCTTGACCTCTCAAAGGCCACACGCACTCTCGACCAGTCTATTTCAAGTAGTCTGAGTCGACAAAAGGCCATTCATTCCAGCCGTCAAATTTGACGTATTGGTACTCGTCAAGCTTCTGCGCAACACCCTTGAACATTCGGATCTGCATCTCCGTCAGCTGCCGTCATGCAAGCCCGCGAACATTTACTTACGTTGACACCCAGCATGTCTGGTCCGTCCACGCCACGCTCTGGCATTCTCGGATCAAAGAACAGACTGCTGCCACAATTTGTGCAGAACTTGTGCTGGTTCCACTTCTGACCAAAAGAGTAGGCCTTCAGAGCATCCTCACCGCTCTTTACTTTCACTTGTTGACGCAAAGGGTACACAAGCAAGTACCCGTTTCTTGAGCAGATGGAGCAGTTGCATGAAGTCACCTTCCATTTGGCAAGAGGCGCCGTGGTCACCGAGTACTGGACAGTTCCGCAATGGCAGCTTGCATCGTACGTTGCCATGTCCTTGGGATCCATCGCTTTAAGCATGTCGAATAACGCGCTGGCGGGAGATTCATCCTTGCTATCGACCATGGTCGCCGAAGAGGGGGTTGGTCGATGATGTAATTGTTGTTGTTTCTTTAGCTGGGTGATACAAAAACCGACCGCGTACAATTTATATACCCAATCTACTCCTTTCCCATGGGGTATTCTAGCCGGCCGTGAGCCAAACTCGGTATGCAGAGCGGACCAAAAAGAAGTCAGGCTGGCGGCATCCTAAATGTCTCCGCCTTCCGATCCGAAGCTATGTGTCCGAACTTCCGTATATGGGAGCCGCTACAAAGTGCAAGCGCTCGTATAACAGCGCATACTTGGACCTGCCTAGCACAGACTTCCTCCGTAGCACACCGACTGTCAGCTGCCAAGCACCATCGATCCCAAATTATCAAACTTTCAGGAAACCTAATGGTCGTCGATGCACCGTTCTCAGGTCTGTGTTTTACTCCGAAGAGCCCAGTGCTTGCAGACCTTCTACCGTCTTGAGCCGCCTGAGGTCTCGTACGACAAGCTCATCGCACGACTCTGTGTCACGGTTCTCTTTCCATGCCAATTGGCTCTGGGACTCTTGCACTGCGCATGTTCCACCACCATTGCCTGTTCGAGGCGACACGTCCACCGATCCTGCACCCGGGTGCACAGGGTGTCCGGCAACACAGTCGTTTGCTAGGAATCATCCCCAGGATTTCTTTGTTCTACAGGCCTTAGCGGGATTTCCGATTGGTGTTTCAGACATGTGCAAGCCGCTTCCCGAAACAACGGACGGGTGTCTCACTGACGTTGTTTCTAGCTCAGAGGAAAGTCCGGCATGCCCTGTCTAAGGGACAGGGCGCTGTTTTAGTGCCTCTAAACTTAGCTTCGCATCTTGCGTGACGTTACCGCAGTTGATCCAGGTACCGGGCACTGATGTCTTGGATGCAGCGGCAGCAATGATTGGAACCATTTGCCACAGAGGCCCGGTACTTTGGTATTGTCCTAGTGCTGCCGGTAAAGCGGATCTTGAGGTCTAGCATTTAGGTGGGTTTGAAAGTAGCTGGCCTAAACCGAGCATGAGCGTATGCACGTCGAGTATTTTGATTGATGCCAGCAGAGGATTGATTCTCTTGCAGCTTGACCAAACATGCATGCAACTTGTATTTGGCATGAATGATTTCTCGACCGAAAAGCCGGTTTCCTTATAATGGGTTGGATGCAACCGTAACTACACAGTATCATCCTTTAAATGATTTGTTTCATCGTTCTCAACGGACAATACAAACCATGTAAACTCATACCACAACAAAGCCTTGCCACTGGTCCAATATTCACGCTCATCACGGAAAAGGCTCTTTGGCTCTATGATGTTACGAGAACTTTCCGCACGAGTACTCGTCGGATAACTTACTTGTTTTCATCGATTTTGTTAGCTCGCCCTTGACATTGATGAGCATTTACAGGTGTATAGCTTTCCAAGGCAAGATTGCTGTGGACTGGCAGCTCCCATAGATACCGATGTTGAATTTACATTCTGACAAGGTGCTTTTTGGAGTATTTCTGTATGTGTCGGTAGAAAGTGCGCTCCCTTCTACAGCTTTAACAGGTGCTTTCTATAATATCAGATCTACGTGCGCTATTAGTATGGCCCAAAGATTGTAGACGACCGAAATATAAATGCGCGCCTTAGGAGTCGCTGCACAGGTAAAAAAAGAGCATATTTTCCAACTCTACTACTCTGCAGGTAAAAATAAAGTCGGCAAGTGAAACGTTAAAAAAACTATTATATAACTCCCCCCGGTGGGCTCGAACCACCAACCTCCTGATTGCGCAAGACAAGGTCTTAACAGTCAGACGCGCTAGCCAATTGCGCCAGGGAGGATGTTATTGGGAATAATTGGAGTTTTGTAAAAATATATCAGTATGTGTTTTTCAAATGGCTTTTAAAGGTTCTAAAATTTCATGTGCAGGGCGTGTGCGCTGACTACCCCGCTAATTAATTAATATACGTCATAGCGCGAGGCTATTCAACCCAATCTCGGCATGTGCACCACATGAGTCATTGGAAATGTTGGGAACAGCTTCAAGTCAGACGCTACAAAATATTCTAGAATCTAAATTACAGAGCAACACGATCAATGCCGACGATGTCAGGAACCGTACCTACATCGCCGCGCCACTCGCTATATCGGTTCTCACCCAACGAACTCAATCGTTCTGTCTGCGTTAGGCAGTTTTTGTTGTTGCCGGCAATGTTTCTCTTCTATCCCTGATCGCATTCTTGACGCAGTCAATAACTGCAGCAGGAAACTTCGTAAGATTATTCGCGTCGATGTGTCTATGACAGCGTGGGCGTACTCGCTCATTAGGTAGATCTCGACTCTCGTGGTATACCGTTACCGGAATGGATGTGCCTACAACTTTACATGTCTCAGCCCGCGAAGCCACTACACATCCTTCGACGGCAACCCTTAAAAGGCACTCCGCAAAGCAAGCACGGCTGACCGTCATCGCAAGAGTTTTCCCAACCCTCCGAATTGCAGCTGTTTGTTGCAAACGCTCCATAAACAGTGCGACGAAATCAAGATCGACATAATGACAAACTCATAACGTTACTCGTAAAGCATTTGATAGTATCACCGTGGGTTTTTACAAAGCTCCTGAAGTTTTTATTTGTCTGGAACATGCCTTGAACGACTCTAACGCTTATCAAGCAGAAATTGCTCGGATGTGTGGATCAACCGCGTGCAAATAGATATAGAGCAAAGTCTACGCGCACCGCATGGTTGCGGAACGACCTCTAATTTGAACGTGGGTTCGGGAAATATGATGCCCAGTTGAAATGCCGTTCCGATGTTGAAATGCGAATCTCCGAAAGTATGAAGACTACGGTGAATGACGACTAGAACGAATCTAGGATCGATTCATCTCGTGGGAAGTATAGTCATTTTATCTGGCATGGAGGCTAAAGTTCAATTAGGCACTTGACTATTCATCGACAAGATTGGCATGTGTGTTCCTACAACCACAAAATGAATCATTTCGCAACTAGACATGTTTGCCCTTCTAAGTCTAGGTGCACATTCTTGGATCAAAAGGGTGGCAGAATGAAGCATGTACCCAAATGGTTTGTGTCAAGTCCCAAGTTCCTAACCTTGTTTTGGTCAAACGGATATTTAGAGATATCAAGTCAACCAATTGCAAATGCCTGGTTCTACTATTGTTCAATACTTTGCGCATCGATTTGAGCGGATGGTCCAAAGAGTTCAGGTCTACCACAGTGCACGAATACCGAGTCAACCCCTTCGATATGGTTTTCTAAACTCTGTGATCGAATCAACGAACCCGATGAGTACTTGTTCATGTAAATCTGACAAATTCTTAAACCACGACACGGAAATAGTAATAAGACCTAGAATTTGTCAGGCCAAAAACGACCGTCCCATAAGAGTGGGAAGCACCGTAAACAATGCTGTACAACTCACCTTAAGCTCCAAGTGCACTCCCGAATAAGACGTACCAATTCATCACGATAAGCCAGTTCAGGGGTCTTCCTTCCTTTCAAAAAGGAATTCTCCCACCAGACTGCTGAGATTGACGATGCTTCACTTCCACTAGCCATTGGTTTTTTCGCGAAACGAGACTCTTATCGAAGGATGCAAAAAGTGTCCAGTAGCAATTAACGCACTCCAAGTGAACCCTCTAATGAAGATGATATGCTGGCCGGCTGAGGCATGGATCTCGCCAGATCTTGAAGTCGGCTGCTATTGATTGAACTTTAAAACGTAGAACCTGAACCGAACGTCAATGAAGCCATTGCGCATACTTCATAAAAGAAAATGGCATTAATATCCATGCCATTCATCAAAACCATCCGGCAATTCAAAGTCCAAGGTTCGTTGAAATATATGACCCACGGAAAATGCAAAAGTGTTTTATGTAAGAGTCAAGTCCTCTTTGCCAATTACTACAAGCTCTTTAGAAGGGACTCGCATATCTCTGTCAGTTGGTTTAAAGACTTTAGTACTGTGGGCGTGGGCTCGATACTTGGTACTTTTAGAAAACCGAGCATTCCAAGTAGCAAAACTCGTGTCGGAATGGGAAAAGGATAATAAATTGCAGCCAATTTCCCCATGCTCAGTACATAAGTTCCTCTGAGCCTGAGACGCTGTAGCGTTAATGCCCTAGTTGCTGGTAAATGCTTTCAGCGTTGGTGAAAAAAAATTCGAGAATGCGAGTGAGAAGGCGGGCAATTAATTCCGTTAGGAGAGTTCCTCAGCATCTGCACAAAGTAAGACGCATGCATGTCGAAGACCACGAAGTCCAACCGAGGACAAATTTGGTACGCGCTGTCTTTGAGACGTAAGGAAAAGGCGATGAAATACTTCTGATGATTGTGGAAGTGCAACATGTGTGTTTGCAAAATGTTTGAATGATTGAGAGAAGTTGCGATCGATTGCATACTAACGCCACAAATCAAGGCCATCAATGGCCTATGGCTTATTCCCCAAAAGCGCACAGCAAAGGAATATACCGACCATGCCTTACTCGGCAGCGTGCTGCGCTATGATGTTATGAACACCTTGGTCATGAATGACAACTCAAACGTAGGTGGAGTGTGGAAAGCATATATTTGTATAGATCAAATTACAGTTGCCGCCATCTTTGGGCGCTTGTGCACCGTCCTTGCCACCAAACACTCATTGCATCGAGGCCATGCACCAAAGCTAGACATGGTAAACTTCTTCCTTGGTAAACCATAATTGTGGAGAGTGCATGTAGTCACAAACAACATGGAAGCAGTAAATACGGCGTGATAAGCAATCTCGAGCAGGAAGAATCGAAATGATCTGTGCGAAGAGGAAATGGGTATTTAAACGTGAACCATAGCCCTGGCTGTTCTAAATCTAAGGAGTGGTGGCTCAAAGCCCCTAGAACTGTTATGAAGCCAGAGGATCAATAATGCCGACGATGTGGGATTAGAGGAGCTTGAGCAGGGCTCCAGGAGAAAGATGCCACTACTACGAAGACACCAGGGAACATGGTCTAGCCAATGGAAAGTTCTTTTCTCAGCGTTACAAGGACTATCGCTCCAGCTTTACGAAACACAGGCTGTTGCGTGGACGAAGTGGACAGACAGCGCCCAAGAAACGTATGGGCCGCCCTAATTTACGCACGAAAGCAAGCAGAAGTCGAAGTCACGACGGGCACTACCAGGACCAGCGATACCCCCGAGTCATTTGCCGCCAACAGATACGTTGCGAGACAACAGAAACCATATTTTGGAAGCTGTATACGACCGCCTCCCTCTGTCTGCCTTCCAAAATCCAGCTCGGCCAGCTTCAACAAGCCGAGGTAATGTTCTACTGCGCTTCCAAGTCACCTCCACGAAGGCTGAGCAACACCGTCTCTCAAAAGCGTATTTGCCGCGACAATGTCTCTCGTTGCCATGTCACAATAATATAGGCCTTCCAAAGGAGGAAATGCCAACCCCGAAACTCATCAGGTGTGACCGACATTTGTACAACCGGTGAAAGCGCTTTCGTGAAAGGTCATGCGGCCTCGACTAGAATCCAATTCGCGGCCATGTCCGCTTCTCGGATCCATACACGAGGGTGAGGGTGTCGAGCCTCGTCTGAGTGCAAGTAAGCTGAGAAGACGACTTCGGTGAGGGCACGGGCGATGGGGCAACTTGGGTCAGCTCATGCCCGCTTTTTGCGCTCCAAGGGACATGTTGCGACGACGACCCAAGCGAAAGCGGAATCAGCCTTTCTCCCTGCTTGGCCAAGGACGTGGACTCGGGACCACATCAGCAGTCCCGTCGCCACGATTGCGCCATCATGTTCGAAGTGCGAACCCAGCAGATTTCCGGAAGGAGGCATGAAAGTATTGCTTCGCTCACGTCGGTCTCGGGTTCGTGAATACGCCTGCCAAAGGGTGTTAGGTTAGCCCAGGTGACTGTCTTGGTCCAAAATTAGTCGAGCACTACAAGGAGCTACAAGGAGCCTGAACCAACCTCTATATGCTATACATCCATGGCAGGACCATGGCAGCCTTGTCTATCAGGCCCAGGTACGTACATCTTCTCGACCACCGCACGAGTATGCAGCGCGTGTACTGTGGTCCGCACTCACACCACCCCGTGGGCTATCGCGTCAGACGGCAACCCAGACGGGGCAAACGCAGCACTAATACAGAGAAGATTATGTCAGACGGACTTGCAAGTACAACAAGGTGCTGATGGTCCAGCACAGGGCTGGCACGTGGACCCGTAAGCCGCAGTCAGCACCAAGCTGCCGCGCTTAAGGACGGGTTCCTGGGTTTCTGCAGGAAATTGGGCCAAGGTGTCTAATCGATAGCTGGATGGGGCGGGCGCACCAAACTGGCTGCACGCGCGCGCTGCGGGCCCTCAAAATCGATAATGGGGATGCGAGATGTGATGTCGAGATCGCGTTGCTTTGGAGCCACGGGACTCGGCTGTGACTGATTTCCTAATGCGGACGGACATGCCTGAGCTAGTGATTCGCGAGCTGAGCGATTACGAGCACCTCGACGGGGAGAAATGATTCTCGAGAGCAGGGCGGGAGAGCTCCAGAAGGCAAAATGGATGCTGTGGAAAAAGAAACATGGAAGATATCGGGGCCAGAAGCGGCAAGTCCTGCAGCGCGGTGCTATGCGAAGTCGCACAAGATCCTTATTGCCAGAGTGTTCTCGTAAATGCAGTCAGCTTGATAAGTCCCGTGTGGATTTCCACAGCCCTATCGCTTGGGGTCACGGGACAGGCGTGCAATCCACTGCGTCGCGGGGTTAGTGATGGTAACGCTGGGAGAGCTTCTAAAGAGACAACTACCCAGCAAGTGGGAAGGTCCTCGAGCAGACTCG